AGATGAGGTTTATTTCCCATTGGCAATGCCAGGAACACCAGTTTGCCGTTATGATAACGACCCTGCTCGAAGGTCCCGTCTTGGAAGCGGGTTTGTCCGAGGCCGTGACGTTGGTTCTTGAACCACTGCCCACAGTAAGCCAGACCATCAGTACGTTCGCAGACACCGAAGCCGTGTCTAGTATCGGAGAGCCATTCGCCGGAATACACCTCTACGGTATCGTCAGAGACAAGGTCCAGTTCCAGCTACCAAAGAGCATTATAAGCATGCTCTTAAATTATCAGGCAGTCAGGTAAGCATATGGGTTCAATGTGATTGAGACTAAGAAGATCGCAGAGGGCTATTCGAATATACAAAAAAGAGCGTTCAATGATAGAAAGGCAAAAATTGCTCTTGACCGGAATAGTTTTCTGGAGAGTCCCAATAGCAGATGCTGAATAGCACGCTCCAAGGGCCGAGGGGTTAAATTATTCATTTGAAAAACAGCCTTGATGATGTCGAAAAGGACCAGCTGGTGGATAGAAGTTGGCATGAATATGTCATCTTTTGCCGATTCAATTCTCCTTGCCAATAGAGGAGAATATGCGAGTTCTAGGCTGTAGTTCAGAAGAAGATGCCAGGGTTTGAAATTCGAGTGTAGCGGCAGTTTCTGCAGCTATACTTGAGTTAGGTAGGTGCTGCCGATGAAGGCCAATAAGCCAGAAATATGCGTATTCAGCACTCCCTAACGTTTGCCGGCAATAAAAATTGGTTACAACTGCATTTAATTTGTCCCAGTTGCTGCTCGAAAACCATTTCTGTATCACTCTGCCTAATCGCAATGCAGGTTTCCCGCTGCCAGAGGCAGTTTATCATAAACCGCATCGGTGTTCTCCCAGATTTATCTCGGCCCCATCGTCTCGCATCTGGGTCTCTGGCATCTCTCATGTTTATCAGATGTCATTATTGATAGGGGGCAATCATTCAGTGCCTAGCAATAGCTGCAATGAAAACAGATAAGTCGAATAAATGAATATATTTACAAACGTCTAGGCAAGAGTGAACTACAGCAGTGAGGAGTTTAGACCACTAGCAATGGTTCGTGCTGATCAAACTGAACACCGTGCATTCAAAGTTGTGTGCTAAGAAGATGACCGCACAGCAGGGGCGTTTTCAAGGTAAG